GAATCCTCTGTTTCGAATAGATCGTAGATCCTGACGATATTCGGATGCGGCGGTAACATCGCCATGATTCTCGGTTCCGTCTCTATACACTCCCGATCTAACGCGTCGATGAGAGCTCGCTTGTCGATCGTTTTGCAGGCGTAGAATTCTTTAGTCGCCGGTGAGAAACATCGACTGATTGTTCCGAATCGACCTCGGCCGATCTCGTCGCAAATCTGGTAGTTGTTTTCAAGTTCGATTTCTCCGGTCATCGGAATATTCTCTTTATGATTCTTCTCCGTGATTCTGTTACTTTGCGTATCTCTGTGATTACTTGGTGAGATAGGTTTCTTTTATAGAGGAAGAGAATCTGAATACTAAAAAAGAGTATATTCCGTTTAAGGAGCTTAAATAGTATTCTGTTATAAACGTTGGAGTCAAGCTTCCAGAAGAAAAGCAAGCAACAGACTAGGTAACTAACGGCGACGTTATGTACCTCCACGTGTTATTTTTTTTTTTCCGTTGAATCAGTAAAATACAGGAGAAAAAGAGAAGTTAAAAACCTTGAATATGCATTGCGTATGACATGTATCAAATAATTTTTTTAATGGACTCTAAGCATATAATTAAAATAATTCGACGAGTCAAGTTGTATAAGTGAAATGCAGATAAATATGCTCACCATGTCCTTGTTGTAAAGACGAGGAAAATAAACAAAGCCATATTCTTGATGTGGTGGTTATGTGAATATATTATAGAGAAGACCTTAGTAGTTTTCAAATGAAATACTCTACAATATTTAAATGTCGGTCCATTATAGAATATTGCATGTGGCATCATTTATAGCCATCCCTAATAGTTCTGCAATTTGCTTATTTTAGTAAACTTTAACTTATTACTTTTATAGTGCACTATTTGTCGATAATCTAAAATGTTGTTAAGTTGCATGATTTTAGACAAGGTTGGCTCAGAAGTTTATTTGTGATGGTGTGATTTGTGTCGTCTTCGCGATTTTTTTTTTTTAATATGCGAATTATGTACCAAAAATAACAAATGTTTTACTTGGCGTAGTTAAACAGTTTCAAGAGACAAAAAAAAATAGTAAAAAAATCTAACCGAAACAAAAAGAGAGATAACAAATCTCAAAAGAACTTAATCAACTATTCAAACGAAAACCAGATAAAGAGAAGTTTCTAAAAGACATACGATGTCTACGAGCATGAATGATGTCTTCGCGATTTTTTTAAGCCTATTATATCTATGTAGAAGCTAAATTTGTTAAGGCATATCTAGATTTAATAATATTGTAAAGATGATAGATATCAAACAACATTATTGAGAAATATATCATTTTCTTATTGGCAATCATGATTTCGGAAGAATAAATTAAACCATATCCCAATTTGTTACCAGGCAATATCCAGATTGTATGAAATTGGACATTTTATTATACGGTGGTCAAGATCATATAAGTCACTAAACGTTACTAAGAATATCAGTATAGCTTAGACTCTAAAGTCTAAACCAACTCAATTACTTTTAATTATTAAATCCAAAAAGATTTTCAATAGAAATGGTGCAAACAGTTGGCTAATCAGCTAAATGAAAGATTAAGAGAAAACATATTAAATATATTATTTGTGTAAAACATGCTCACGTAAACATACACACATTTTACCAAGACTACCACATACACTTCAGTGTCTCCAAAAACTAGATGACCTTTATCCTATCCAAAAGCAAATCATACATGGTAC